AGGTGAAAATAGATTGTATAAATCAAAAGGACAAAGACTGAAGAGTTAGAAAATAATTAATGTACTAAAAACGTGTGTCCCATAAACACATTATACATAAAAAAGAGAAAAATAAAAAAGATGGTAATACCAGGATAGTGTGTCCACCAGAAAGTTCTGACTCAGAGCGCAAAATACAGTTGCTAGTTCTGTTGTAACAAATTGTGAAATTGAAGAGCAACAATGTCGCAGTCTAAGAGGTAAAGTATGCAAGTGCACATGCACTGCATAGTGCCGCTGAATACACTGGTCACCGAGTCAGACTAAAAATAGAGTTGCAAAAAATGATAACAGATCACAGGGTGCCACAATAACTTGTCTTTACCAGCTTGTCTCTAATAGATCTAAAAGGAGACCAATTATAGCCGGAATAAGAGATCAGTATAGTAAAGTTTTACAATTTATTCAGACATCAAAAAAATAATAAAATATATACACAATAAAATACAATCCAATAAAAATAGCCTCAACAGGCTCAGGACCCTTTGGTCAGCAGCTGAAAAAATACAATATAAAGTGCACACTGCAAAAGAACCATAAGTAAAGGGAAGTAACGATAAATGGCTATAAATAGCCACTAGCATACACTATCCCTTCACAATATCCACTTGGGATAATAGCTGTAGATGGGCTATTGGGAATAGAAATGGGAATAGAATTGGTACAGTAGGAGTCACTAACAAATAGTACCCCAATGCAGAGTAAAAGTGCCAAATGCATATAACATCAAACTGCTGATACCAATAATATAGGGTCGCCTGTCACTGTGCACAATGCGTTTCATCAGGCGTCCGACTTCCTCAGGAGCTTGTGTCTTCTGTCCCCATCTTCTTGCTTTTAAACTTGCAGGTCTTCCTGTCCCAATTGATGATCGCTGCGTCATGACGTTCGGACGTTGGTACCGAGCATGCGCGTATAACCACCGTGGAACGCAACATAACTTTATTGGCAATCTGCATATTTACACAACAGTGCCGGCAATATTAGCACGGCTCAGAATCAGTAGAATCTGTGCATCATTTATCTAAAAAAAACAGCTAACAGTCAAATCTAAAGTCAATTTTAATAAACAAAGGTATGAATGGGACTTTTATTAAAAACCTTTTCTCCAAAGATCGAAAAGGATGTGATATTAAACTGTTTACATATATACTGTCAGGATTACAGAATGATCCAGTACGTAGAATTGAGTAACACAGAGGACTGATAGGTAACGTATACCGGACCTTAGAATGGCCGGACCAACGTACCAAAGAATAGTCAGGAATAGCCAAGGTCAAGGGAAACAGAAAGAGACACAACGATAAGGAAAAGCTAGGAGTCAGGGATGTCAGAAAATAGGGAAGTAAAAAACAATGCCAAAGTCAAATAACCAGAATAACCAGAATCAATAACACGCTCTCTGACAACCACAAGGGAAACCACGACAGGGCACTGAGCAGGATGAGAACTGGGCCTAAATACCTCCTCCTCTAGGTCTGATAGGCTGTAACCGGTCTTTGACCCCAAAGTCAGTTACCAGGTTCCCATTTGCATAATAGCTGCTCAGCATTAACCCTTCTGTGGATTTGGTTGCTGCTCGGCACAACTTTTCCTGTGTGGACTGTTAATGTCATTAACCACATTTTTATAAGCGGATGAATACGTGACATATGCAAAAAGGATATATTAAAGAGAATATATTAAAAAATGTATTTTATGTATTTCATAGTGTGTAAAAAATTAGACCTATAAGTAGAATGTATGTATGAAAATAGTCCCTTCACACATAACCCATATTTAATATTGGTATAATAATTACAATTATAATGGAGGAGTCTAACATAGTATATTTAAGTTTAATACAATATTGGAAAGCATACTCATTAATTAGAAGGCAAATGAAAAACATCAATTGTGAGGAATGATTCAAAGGTGCTTATATGGCTACAGGGAAGATCTTAACTATCCTAAGAATCTTTAAATCTTTAAAAAATCTTTAAAAGATCCCCAAAACAAATCATTAAATAACAGCAATTTAATATAAAAAAACAATTAAAGGACCACTCTAGGCACCCAGACCACTTCAGCTTAATGAAGTGGTCTGGGTGCCAGGTCCAGCTAGGGTTAACCCATTTTTTATAAACATAGCAGTTTTTTATAAACATAGCAGTTTTGGGCTTCCCCCAAAGCCTCTAGTGGCTGTCTCATTGACAGCTGCTAGAGGCACTTGCGTGCTTCTCACTGTGAAAATCACAAAATGATAATGGTTTCCTATGCGACCGGCTGAATGCGCGCGCAGCGCTTGCGCATTTAGCCGACGGGGAGGAACAGAGGAGGGTCGGAGGAGGAGAGCGCTGGAAAAAGGTAAGTTTTACCCCTTTTCCCCTTTCCATAGCCGGGCGGGAGGGGGTCCCTGAGTGTGAGGGCACCCTCAGGGCACTATAGTACCAGGAAAACGAGTATGTTTTCCTGGCACTATAGTGGTCCTTTAAGTGTAACAAAACAGTTAGACATATAAAAAATATATAAAATATATATAAAAAGAACAATTAAGCATATAAATAAACGTAATTAAGTATATGAGAAAACATTTCATCATAAACTAGAGTTAAATTCCATTTTATATATAATATTCAAAATCTTGTATTCTTTGGAGAGATCCTGAAGATGATGAAAAAAAATGAATTAAATAATTAATAATAATTCCTACAATATTTTCTTTCGTAGGTAGGACACTCGGAGCCAAAACATTCTTTAAATTATTTGTTTTCTTATAAATCACTTTTGGTTTGCATGGTAGAATTCTCTTTAAGTATTTATCCTGCATCAAAATTGGCCGTTTTTCTTAATAGTTTTCTCAATCAAATGAGATATATTACTAAATTTAGTTAGTAATGCAAAATCAAAACTATTAACCAAGGTCTTATTCCTCCCATTTTTATTTTCCAATTTTTTTTCTCTTTTAAGCCCCTCAATTTGCTTTTGTGTAGTCGTTAATAAATCTTCATGATAATGTCTATCTAAAAACTTTTTGTTTAAAACCTGTACCTGTTCTTTAAAATCTTCTTCCTTAGTACAATTCTTTAAAATCCTAATATGCTGTCCCTTATTATTATGATGACCGCTAGAAAATTCAATAAAACCATTGCCATCAGTAGGCTTAAAATAAGTTTTGCTACACACCTTTCCTTCTTTAATAAATAGTGTTAGATCCAGAAAATGTATCGAGGTTTCTCCTATCTCCACCGTAAATTTGAGACCATATGTATTTGAATTGATATATTTTAAGAAATTAGGTGCTTCTCTCTCCTTCCCATATGATCAGAACATTGTCAATGTACCTTTTCCATAGCACCAGGTTCGCACCAAAAAGGTTGTTAGCCCAAATGTTTTTTAATTCCCAGTCCGCCACAAAATTGTTGGCGTAACTTGGTGCGAACCTGGTGCCCATCGCTGTTCCACAAGTTTGAAGGTAATATGTCAAAATAAAACAAATAATTCCTAAGATGAAATGGTCCTGATCCTTAGACATATGGCCATCTCTATGTAAAATCTCCTGGACTGCTTTTAAACCTTTCTCGTGGTCAATGACAGTGTACAATGAGGTGACATCAACCCATAGATATTGCTCTTTCCAGTCCAAGTCCAGGCCCTCAATCTTTTTAATTTAGTATATGATCCTGCCTGTATCACATATTTATGTAGGAAAAAGTCTACATATTGGGAAATGTTGCTGGTGAGGGAACAATCCCAATGATAATGGGCCTACCAGATGAATTCTCAATGGGGATTTGATTGATAACTAATTGAATTCATATTTGTCAATCACCACTTTATCCAGACCCTCAGTCAATATACCGTGCAATTCCCCTTTAAATTCTTTCATAGGGTTGTTTTTCAGTATCTTTTATGTTCTCATTGATTCCTTCATGTAGTCTTCTCTATTTAGGATCACTATACCTCCCCCTTTATCGGCCTGTCTTATGACAATTTCCTTATTCTCCTTTAGTTGTATTAGAGCCTGTTTCTATTTTTTTGTCAAATTCTCTCTACCTTTATTCTTAGAAAAAATTTTAAACTCAGTCATGATCATGTCGCCGAAAGCGGGATATGTTCCCCCTTTTCCCACGTTGGGAAGAATTTTGACTTATTCTTTAGGCCAGAATGAATAGTCTCTATTGTATTAATGTCATCCTTTACAGTTTCTAGGTTCCCTATCGATGTTCTCGAGTCACTCTCGATCTCTTTCTTTTGTTCAAAAAATCTTTTAATTGTTAATTTTCTTAAAAATTTCTGGGTATCTATAAAAAGTACAAATGTATTTGATTTTGTTTGGGAGGCAAATTTTAAACCCTTATTTAAAATTGTTAGTTGTTCTGCATTTAAAACAACCTTTGATAAATTAAAAATCCAATCCATGCTCTTCTTTTTATTTGAGTTTATTCTGACATTTCTCCCTCATCTACCTCCCCTACTCCTGCAGTTGCTCCTATGAGCCTTCTCTTCTTGGGTGGGGTTTGAGTCATCTGTAGGGGGAGAATCATTTTTTTAGCCTTTGGGCTTAGCCAATGGTTGTTTCTCTGGCGATGTTCTAAAAAACCTCCTCTCTGAACATAATTTCCCTTCTTGCCATAATTCACCATATTTCTAGTGGTCTCCTTTCGTCTTACTATAGTGTTAGTCTCCCTACTGTTTGAATTTCTCCTAGCTACAAATTTTTGGGGGTATCCTTTGGTATTCCTATATTGAACCTCAATTTTGTTTTTATTCAAATTTTTTTGATTCCTTCCTTCTCTGTAATTCGTCCCTCTAAATCATTACTTTTTCCAATCTCTCTGGACATGAACAGAATGGTGCTGCTGAATACACTTTTCACTGAGTCAGATTAAAAATAGAGTTGACACCACCTTGGTAGATGTAGTACATAGTTGTAGTGCTAACACCCCTGAGATTAATTAATTATCACTGTCTTGAGCCTTCGAGGGCACTTAGTATAGGAGAACTTGCCTAAAACTGGCTCTATCTCTGTTATTATGTAAGGTGTTAGCAAACTGGCGTCGACATCGCTGGAAAATCCACTGAGCTGTGCCTTCAAGGGTACCTAGGCTTGAAAGTCAAAGACGAAGCTAATTACCTAAACCAGGTAGGGTGGCTCTTTTTTTCCCACTGAAGAGCCGCCCTATCAAAAAACGTGCGTTTTTTGCGATCACCTTACATAATAACAGAGATACAGCCAGTTTCAGGCAAGTTCTCCTATGCTAAGTGCCCTCGAAGGCACAAGACCATGATGGTTAATTAACCCCTTAAGGACACGTGACGTGTGACATGTCATGATTCCCTTTTATTCCAGAAGTTTGGTCCTTAAGGGGTTAAACTCTGGGGTGTTAGCATTACTATTTACTACATCTAACAAGGTGGTGTCAACTCTATTTTTAATCTGAATCAGTTACAAGTGTATTCAGCAGCACCATTCAGTTCATGTCCACTTGCATACTTTACCTCTTATTATTGTTATTATTATTAGACATGTGCAATTCAGTCCAAATGGGAATTCGGACAAATTTCGAACATTCTGTTGCTTCCGAATGTCCAAAGTGCCGGATTTCGGAAGTGTCGAAGTGTTTCGGACGTCTGAAAAGTGGCAAAATGGTTAGGGGTAGGAATAGGGTTGGCGTAGGATTAGAAATAGTGTTAGGGTTAGGTTAGGGGTAGGGTATTGGTTAGGGTTTGGGATGGGGTAGGGTTAGATTTATGTTTAGGGTAGGGTTTGGGTTAACCCTACTCCCAACCCTAACCCATCCCTAACCATACTGCTAACCCTACTATTAACCCTAACCCTACTCCTAACACTACACTTACCCGAAGTCCCGAAATTTAGATTTCTTGGCTGGGGCGATTGAACACAATTAATGCATACTCCATATCTAAATTATCTTTACCATTTAGATTAAGTAATGACTGGATCTTACAATATCAAATATGATAAAAGCGGTACATCATTCCTGAACATTGCTAAGATACATCAAGCCTGTTTAGTTGTGAATGTAATGGCATATAAATAACGCTTTGTTTCAGATTGAAAAAGAAAATTGTTCACAAGGTAATTTGAATACTACAGGGAGTGCAGAATTACATAGAAACATAGAATGTGACGGCAGATAAGAACCATTCGGCCCATCTAGTCTGCCCAATTTTCTAAATACTTTCATTAGTCCCTAGTCTTATCTTATAGTTAGGATAGCCTTATGCCTATCCCACGCATGCTTAAACTCCTTTACTGTGTTAACCTCTACCACTTCAGCTGGAAGGCTATTCCATGCATCCACTACCCTCTCAGTAAAGTAATACTTCCTGATATTATTTTTAAACCTTTGTCCCTCTAATTTAAGACTATGTCCTCTTGTTGTGGTAGTTTTTCTTCTTTTAAATATAGTCTCCTCCTTTACTGTGTTGATTCCCTTTATATATTTAAATGTTTCTATCATATCCCCCCTGTCTCGTCTTTCCTCCAAGCTATACATGTTAAGATCCTTTAACCTTTCCTGGTAAGTTTTATCCCGCAATCCATGAACCAGTTTAGTAGCCCTTCTCTGAACCCTCTCTAAGGTATCAATATCCTTCTGAAGATACGGTCTCCAGTACTGTGTACAATACTCCAAGTGAGGTCTCACCAGTGTTCTGTACAATGGCATGAGCACTTCCCTCTTTCTACTGCTAATACCTCTCCCTATACAACCAAGCATTCTGCTAGCATTTCCTGCTGCTCTATTACATTGTCTGCCTACCTTTAAGTCATTAGAAATAATCACCCCTAAATCCCTTTCCTCATATGTTGAGGTTAGGACTCTATCAAATATTCTGTACTCTGCCCTTGGGTTTTTACGTCCAAGATGCATTATCTTGCACTTATCCACATTAAATGTCAGTTGCCACAATTCTGACCATTTTTCTAGTTTACCTAAATCATTTGTCATTTGGCTTATCCCTCCTGGAACATCAACCCTGTTACATATCTTAGTATCATCAGCAAAAAGACATACCTTACCATCAAGACCTTCTGCAATATCACTAATAAAAATATTAAAGAGAATGGGTCCAAGTACAGATCCCTGAGGTACCCCACTGGTGACAAGTCCAAGCTTCGAATATATTCCATTAACTACAACCCTCTGTTGCCTGTCACTCAGCCACTGCCTTACCCATTCAACAATATTTGAATCCAAACTTAAAGATTGCAGTTTATTGATAAGCCTTCTATGTGCAACAGTGTCAAAAGCCTTACTGAAAGCTAGGTAAGCAATGTCTACTGCACCACCCTGAGCTATAATTTTAGTTACCCAATCAAAAAAATCAATAAGATTAGTTTGGCATGATCTCCCTGGAGTAAACCCATGTTGTCTCTGATCTTGAAATCCATGTGTTATTAGATGTTCATCAATCCTATCCTTTAACATGGTTTCCATCACTTTCCCCACTACTGAAGTAAGGCTTACTGGCCTATAGTTGCCCGACTCCTCCCTATTACCTTTCTTGTAAATGGGCACAACATTCGCTAACTTCCAACCTTCTGGGACTACTCCTGTTAACAATGATTGGTTAAATAAATCTGTTAATGGTTTTGCTAGTACACCACTAAGCTCTTTTAATAGCTTTGGGTGTGTTCCATCAGGTCCCATTGACTTATTTGTCTTTACTTTTGACAGTTGAAATAGAACCTCTTCCTCTGTAAACTCACGTGTAATAATTATTAGCCAAGTTGTATTTTTGAGGATTAATTTTATTATTGAACAACAACCATGTTCTCAATGAACCCAAAAAACTCATTAATATCAAAGCTGAATATTTTTGGAAGTAGTTTTTAGTTTGTTTTTAGTTTTAGCTATGTTAGGGGGATATCTGTGTGTGCAGGTGACTATTACTGTGCATAATTATTAGGCAACTTAACAAAAAACAAATATATACCCATTTCAATTATTTATTATTACCAGTGAAACCAATATAACATCTCAACATTCACAAATATACATTTCTGACATTCAAAAACAAAACAAAAACAAATCAGTGACCAATATAGCCACCTTTCTTTGCAAGGACACTCAAAAGCCTGCCATCCATGGATTCTGTCAGTGTTTTGATCTGTTCACCATCAACATTGCGTGCAGCAGCAACCACAGCCTCCCAGACACTGTTCAGAGAGGTGTACTGTTTTCCCTCCTTGAAAATCTCACATTTGATGATGGACCACAGGTTCTCAATGGGGTTCAGATCAGGTGAACAAGGAGGCCATGTCATTAGATTTTCTTCTTTTATACCCTTTCTTGCCAGCCACGCTGTGGAGTACTTGGACGCGTGTGATGGAGCATTGTCCTGCATGAAAATCATGTTTTTCTTGAAGGATGCAGACTTCTTCCTGTACCACTGCTTGAAGAAGGTGTCTTCCAGGAACTGGCAGTAGGACTGGGAGTTGAACTTGACTCCATCCTCAACCCGAAAAGGCCCCACAAGCTCATCTTTGATGATACCAGCCCAAACCAGTACTCCACCTCCACCTTGCTGGCGTCTGAGTCGGACTGGAGCTCTCTGCCCTTTACCAATCCAGCCACGGGCCCATCCATCTGGCCCATCAAGACTCACTCTCATTTCATCAGTCCATAAAACCTTAGAAAAATCAGTCTTGAGATATTTCTTGGCCCAGTCTTGACGTTTCAGCTTGTGTGTCTTGTTCAGTGGTGGTCGTCTTTCAGCCTTTCTTACCTTGGCCATGTCTCTGAGTATTGCACACCTTGTGCTTTTGGGCACTCCAGTGATGTTGCAGCTCTGAAATATGGCCAAACTGGTGGCAAGTGGCATCGTGGCAGCTGCACGCTTGACTTTTCTCAGTTCATGGGCAGTTATTTTGCGCCTTGGTTTTTCCACACGCTTCTTGCGACCCTGTTGACTATTTTGAATGAAACGCTTGATTGTTCGATGATCACGCTTCAGAAGCTTTGCAATTTTAAGAGTGCTGCATCCCTCTGCAAGATATCTCACTATTTTTGACTTTTCTGAGCCTGTCAAGTCCTTCTTTTGACCCATTTTGCCAAAGGAAAGGAAGTTGCCTAATAATTATGCACACCTGATATAGGGTGTTGATGTCATTAGACCACACCCCTTCTCATTACAGAGATGCACATCACCTAATATGCTTAATTGGTAGTAGGCTTTCGAGCCTATACAGCTTGGAGTAAGACAACATGCATAAAGAGGATGATGTGGTCAAAATACTCATTTGCCTAATAATTCTGCACTCCCTGTATATTATGGACAGATGAACTAAACCAAATCAATAAAAAAAGTCCCAAACCAACTTATTGCCGATATGTTGAACTCCCGCAAAACACTGAAAAATAAATTAAAACTTTAGTATTCAATCCTTGTGCATGCCCCCATAGAAATTCTTAAATACAACATGATAGATATAGTATGTATAATTGGAGGCAGCTGGGTATAAATAGAATTGCAGATGTTTTTGAAAAGAAAATAATGCTTGGCTTTCCAAGTTTACAAAATAAATATAACATACCCTTTAGAGATTATTTTCACTATTTAAGAATTAAACACTATCTAAATAGAAAAAAACATTATTTTTGAACATTATATCTATGGTTATCTCGACAGATAAGGATCAAATGGCTTAATTACTAGATTCTTTTAAGCTGTTGGAAGGAGATATTGATGCTCAAAAAAATCCTCACATTGTTAAATGGGAAAAGGATCTCAATTTATCTTATATCTTTGGCAATATTCTAAACAATGGCCACATCGGCATTCTGATTTTAACTTAGTGCAGTTTTTTTTTTTATATTCTGCACTAAGCATACACATTATCAGTGTTGCACTCATCTGGGTACAACACTATTTATGTAGACTATCGCTTGTACAAATACACTCATCTCTTTTTGTACATTCTAATACATATCATGTTGTGGTTCATTTTAAACCATCATTATAGATGTGGAACTGAGCACGGAGAGCTACATTTAGATTGAGCAATTACAGATCAGCTTGTATCCCTGTTTGCAACAGTATGGCCATTTAGACAAACTGCAACATTGTCTTTTGCACTTAAGATCTAGCAGAGGACACTGAAAACTTCTGAACAAGTCCTCTTTGCTCTTATAATTAGATGTAGTGTCACTTCTTCCAATGTTGAAGACTTTTTTGATAGCATGATAGCTTAACGTGTTATTATTTGTTTTTTTTCTCAGTGCTCGATCCATAGGTAATAGC